GTAAAGTCAATTATCTGGGTCATGTAGTCAGTAAAGAAGGAGTGGCCGTGGATAAGGGAAAAATCGATTCTATTAAGGAATGGCCAAAACCAACTGACAAACACCAAGTGAGAAGTTTTCTGGGACTGTGTACTTACTACCGGAGGTTTATTAAGAAGTTTGCAGATATCGCTAAACCATTAACGCGACTTACAGAGGAAACAAGAGAATACCGCTGGGATGTAGACTGCCAGAATGCCTTTGAAACCTTAAAAAAGCATTTAATCACAGCACCAATTTTAGGGTATCCACTGCCAGAAGGAGAGTTCATCTTAGATACAGATGCAAGTAATGTGGGAATTGGAGGAGTGCTGTCTCAGATTCAAGGAGGACAGGAAAGAGTCCTTGGATATTTTAGTAAAGTTCTCTCAAAACCTGAGCGAAATTATTGCGTCACGAGAAGAGAACTTCTGGCAGTAGTGAAATCAGTAGAGCACTTCTATCAATACCTCTATGGAAGGAAGTTTTTAATCCGAACCGACCATGCCGCCCTTAAATGGTTGATGCAGTTTAAGAATCCAGAGGGTCAGATAGCCAGGTGGATCGAACGACTCCAAGAATATGATTTTAAGATTGAGCACCGGGCCGGAGTTAGCCACCGAAACGCTGATTCTCTTTCCAGAAGGCCATGCCAGCAGAGTGTTCTCACTGCAACAAACGGAATCCAAGAAGCAGCAGTGCTAAGAACGACGGTGGTCCACGACGACTGGACGCCTACCAAGATCAGGGAAGAACAAGAGAGAGATTCAGTTATACAGAAAATCCGAAAATGGAAAGAGGAAAACCGTCGACCACCTTGGCAAGAAATATCGAACCTAGGCTCAGTAGTGAAGACGTATTGGGCCCAGTGGGACTCATTTATCATGGAAGATGGCTTGCTCAAACGAGTCCTGGAAAATGATGACGGTTCAGAGAAGAGAAGACAGTTGGTGATTCCAAAGAGCAGAATAGCCGAAGTACTTCGTCAGTTACACGACAGTCCATCAGGAGGGCATTTTGGTGTGAAGAAGACCCTTCAGCGAGTTCGGGAACGGTTTTATTGGATGAACAGTTCCGACGATGTAAAAGACTGGTGTAAGAAATGTACTATTTGTGCTACGAGTAACGGGCCTTATCGAAAAAGGAGAGCTCCTATGAGACAATATAATGTTGGAAGCCCGTTTGAAAGAATAGCTTTGGACATTGCTGGGCCGTTTCCAGAAAGTGATAATGGAGGCAAGTACATGTTGGTAGTAATGGATTACTTCACTAAGTGGGTCGAGATTTACGCACTTCCAGACCAGAAGGCGGCCACCGTTGCAGATAAGTTGATCCAAGAATATATCAGCCGATTTGGAGTGCCTTTGGAGATCCATAGTGACCAAGGCAGGAACTTCGAAAGCGATTTATTCCAAGGAATATGTGATAGACTAGGTATGAAGAAAACAAGGACTACGGCTTATCATCCGCAATCGGATGGTATGGTAGAACGAATGAATAGAACAGTTGGCAAGTATTTGACAAAGATGGTGTCCGATCATCAGCGAGACTGGGACCAATATCTCCCGTTCTTCACAATGGCCTACAGATCTGCTGTTAATGAATCAACAGGCCAGACACCAGCCAAAGTCCTATTCGGACGCGAGATGCGACTACCTTGTGATCTAGAGTTTGGGTGTCGACCTGGAGAAGATGTAGCAGGTGAAGATTATGTGATCGAATTACGAAGAAGAATGGACGATGTACACGAGTTGGTCCGTTCCCATCTCCAGATCGCTAGTGACCGAATGAAGAAACGGTACGATACGCAAGCCGAAAAGGGGTGTTTTAAGAAGAACGATAAAGTCTGGCTTTATAACCCCAAAAAGCGAAAAGGTTGTTCTCCCAAATTGCAGCAGTTTTGGGAAGGTCCATACCTCATTATGGAGAAGATCAATGATGTTATTTACCGAATAAGCAAGATTCCGAGAGGAAAGCCGATGATAGTACACCATAACCGGCTGGCGTCTTTCGAGGGTGACCACGACGTAGATGAAGAAGTGGAAGTAAACCAAGTCCAAGATGTGTCTGACCTCACGTTTGAGGAATTCATGGGTGCCTATGGAGGTACCGGTAAAGCAAGACATGGTGTTACCACTGAAGAAAGGCAAGATCTACTCGCGCTTCCCGATGACTACTCACTGGCCCTTACCATCCCGGCCAGTATCAAAGATGCACCAGGGTTGGCATCCGTCTTTCGAAGGAAGTTTGGTCGAGTTGCAGAACTTCAATGCCAAGTGCCAGCTCCTGGTAAAACCTTGAAACTTCAAGATGCATCACGTTACCTTTTCTACCTGGTAACAAAAGACACTGCCTGTGACCAACCTACCTACCGAGATGTATGGGAAGCCTTACTTCAGTTGAGAGAGCACGTACTAGAGTCCGACGTGCAAAAGTTAGCCATGCCAAAGTTGGAGTGCCGCCAATAAATTGGAGGGTTATACGAAACATGGTGGAGGAAATCTTTAAAGACACCGAAGTCCAGGTGTTAGTCTGTTGCAATCCGCATAGTTACTGCTGCGGAGAGAAAACCGTCCCTTGTCATTTCTATACAACTGGAAGTTGTAAAAGAGGGTCCAGTTGCCGATATCAGCATGTCGTTCCAGTTCCAGTCCCGACAAGGTTCCAGGAGGAACCATCTTTTAAGAGGGGGGCAATGTTACGATTTTAAATGTTATGGCATATAGAACTGTAAATATTTTATGACTAATTCTTTTTTATTGATTCTCGTAATTTGTAGGTCAAAATATACCTGAGCTTAGCTACCAGTTGTTTACCAGAAATCTCTAGACACTAATTTTAGTGAGTCATCCACGTCTCGAGGTTGAAAAACGAGTCGAGCGCCTTCACCAAAATACGAGACTATTCAAGAAGTCCGCCGAATTCTCTGGATGACACAGTTGTGTATATAAATGAAAGATTTTTATTTGGCAGGCAGTTATAAGAAGCTCGCGAACCGCGGTATTTAGATGTAACGAAACGTTAATAAATTATTTGTAATTAGGATTAATAAAGACTTTAATAAATTCGTAATTAGTTATCGTGAGTTTTAATAAATTAGATTATAGACAATAAATTAGAATAAAGACAGATAAATTCGAACTATATAAATATATAACAGGTCTATCTGATCGGTATCTATCTTTTCGTTCTTTTTCGTTAAGAGCCATTTTGGAGAGGCAATATTTATTTTGCAGAAATTTATGAAACATAGCTACTGTCAGTTTTAGTTAATAATATAAATAATGAACAAATGTAAAAAATCACAGCATTCTACATTTAAATATTTAAATTTATTAAAATCTACATATTTTGAACTGTTTTATGTATTTAGAACCTTCCAGACTACATAAAATTATAAGTGTTACATATGGTTGAGCTCGTATTGAATAGGAGATTCCAATAATGACTAAATATACAGGGTGATGAATTTGAAAAACCAAAGTTACTAATAATATAAGCGAAACGGCAAATCTGGCAACATTACAAATATCAAATATGGAATCTCCGTATCTCAAAATGGGTGTACCTCAAACTTTATTCAATAATGGCTAGCAATTTACGAGATCATTGGCCGTTTCCAGACTTTTGGGCCAATCTGTATATGCTTCTAAAACATGGACGTAAAAGGTAACCAATCGAAGAAAAATAGATGCCTTCAAAATGTGGGCTTACAAAAACTTTCAATTATAGAACAATTAAAGGGCAACACAGAAGTATCAACAACAATAAATCAGTCCTACCTCAGTTACTTCAGACCTAGAGAATATTCTCCCACACGCTGGTGGATTAAACCCGAGGAATTATTGGGCATGGTCTTTCCTAGCAGTTCAAAACAGAAAAAGATGAAAATCCACGATCTGAGCTATCGAGACATTATATCACTATACACTTTCGAGAATCAATTGATAAAAGAGAGAAACTTATCTTACGGATTTGCAATCATTCAGTTACACCATATATCACTCAGCCATTTACATGTCCAATTTTATCTGGATAATATTGTCATATTATGTATGCAAAAGATGTAACTCAGTGCAGGATTTCCCCAATAGAGTACAGATAAATTGCAGTGCAAAACATTAATATTTAGTATTTGATCCAGCAGGTAATAGTTTCCATTTCTCCAGGTTGATTTTACCCTTAAATACTATGACTCACAATCGATTGAGAGTTTGCTCCACCGCATAGGGATGATCACTACCAGATCGACTCTAGATATTGTGGAATTTGAGGAACATATTCTTTTCATCTTCTAAAAAAGTTCTTTCTAGTGGATATTGTATATAGCAATCTATATTCGGTCAGAAAGCTTTTATTTGACTTGAGTAACCTCTTATTGTAATGAAGACAGAACCAGACAGGTTTTTGCTGATACGTTGATTGCTACATCTACATGTTTAATACGTGCTGGTGCTTCTCATACTTATACTACATATTCTGCCTCCTATACGCAGAATGTAAGTTCCAAATTAATAACAACAGGCTAAAAGACAGTAAAGATATGATATCACGGATTGGTTTAGCTAAATATATGCCCATTAAAGTTACTTTAATTTATTTGCTTAAGGTCTTTCTCGTTATATCTAATAGGTCAAAAAGTGTTCTGTTAATTTCGAGAAGTACAAATAACTTAGAACAAGACATACGCCCTTATAAGATCAATTATTCAATTCTCTAATGACTCTATTTATTACACATTTTAAATTCTAATTTAATTCATAATTTAGGAACTAAAAGGAAATCTCACACTGGCAGTTTTTGAATATTACTCTGTAAAGTACACACTTATTACTTGTTTCTAAACAAGGAATTGGATGTTGCTCCAATATATCGTTATCTCTACTTATATATTTTAATCTATGATCGTTCCACTATAACGTTTAAAATATGACACATCTCTACACTGCGCACGATGATTTTTCAACCAGCCAGTCTGGGTCTGGGGATTGACTGACTGGACTGAATTATTATTTAGTCCATTGCGTTCGACGTGATAATACCGTTTTAACTTCTAGTTATAAATAATTCGTTTTCTGACAGAATAACGTTGTTAAGATATACATATAGTATTAAACAATAATATATTACATGAAAATCAAATTGAGATCTTTAATATATGAAATTTATGCCTGTTTTCATTGTTCAACTTTCACCTTATGTCATATTTTGAGTGATAACTCGGTTGATATGTGACAGAATCGTCATATTAGTGTTGATTTTATTTATTTGCATTAGTTAAAGTGGACTCTTTTGTGTGATTTATAAAAACTTAATTCCTTAGGAAGGGTTAGTGATTATTTGAAGATATAAAATACCAATCGATAGCTTGCTCGACATCGATGCCAAGTTTCTGACATTGCTTCAACACTTACAACACAGCTGATCCATTGACAAAATCTACCACATAATTTTTCATTATAATATGTAAGTATTTAGTAATTTAAACATTTTAATTTGTTTAGATAAGTTAACTTTTGTTTTATTTTTGAAAATACATCGGTTTTATGTTATGACATTACTTACTTTTTATATCTTCTGTTTCAAAATATATATGTTTTCATATATAAACAAATATAAGTGTATTTAGGTATAATAAGAGTATAATTATTATCTAAATATCTTATTTATATAAAATATTATGTACGCTCACGCAACTCAAAGACGTCATTTCTTATTTGTTTATTCAAATGTTTTAATTGTTTTTCTAAATGTATTTTAATTTGGTGGTCACACTTATCCTTTGTTTTGTTTCCTAAACATGTTTACAACTATTTAGTAATGATAAATAATTGAATCTAATAATGGTATTAAAATTCAATTATTACTTTCAACTCTTCCTTCAGTAAGTATTCCTTCCTTTGCATTTTGGAAAGGATATGTAATTTCAAAATTATAGTTCTGATGGTCTCCTAATTTATTCTTTTAAAAGAACAAAAGGATTCTGAGCTTGTCTTCTTCTTCTTTAAGTTCCATCTTCTATTGAAGGTTGGAAATCATGATGGCTATGAGGACTCTGTTGACTGCCGCTCTAAAAAGTTCTGCACTACTCCATTCAAACCATTCCCTTAAGTTCTTAAGCTAGGATATTCTTCGTCTTCCCACATTTGGCTGTCCTCGGATTTTGCCTTGCATAATAAGTTGTAATAATGCATATTTTTGCCCTCTCAATACATGTCCTAAGTACTCAAGTTTTCGTCTTTTGATAGTTAATATTATTTCCTCCTCATTTCCTATCCTTCTAGTTACTTCCACATTTGACATTCTTTGAATCCATGATGTTTGTATTTAAAAATAAGTAAATTGTCATTTTTGTTATTTTATATGTTTTCATGTATGGATTATTCTTCTTTTGTCTCTTTGTCTTATTTATAATATTGAACTGTTTTGTTGTACAAATTACTCAATCTTAGAATATCTGTACAATAAACTGGTATTTTTTATACATATTTTGTGTTTAAATGGTTTTATCTTTATTTTTAACTTTAGCCCTGAGTTATTCTATGTATAACTTTCTCATTACATGTGTAATATACAATATTCGAATATACTATGATTATTATTATACATCCAGAATAAAATGTGCAAGAAAACTAACAGAAGCAATAAATATGCATTGTGTAGTGTACATAAACTTTTGGCCACAGATATTTACAGAGTTCCAAATTAAATATAACAAGGAAAGATATAATCTATAATGTATTTTAATTTGGTGGTCACACTTATCCTCTGTTTTGTTTACAAAAACTTTAAAACTTACAAACATTAATACAAACTTTAGGCTAATTCATACTACAACTATTAAAGTTTTGGTAAAATGCTGATTTCAATATTTCAAAAATGTTTTTACGTACCTTTTCAATTTAAAAAAGCACTAAAATAGGAACCACGTTTTGTTTACAAACTATGATTACGGTTTCATTACAAATGTGGAACTTAGGCAAAATGCGTATTTATTTTTAACAACAGCGGACTTCGGCAAATTTCGTTTAATAGGTTTATGGCGCTTAAATGTTAAATCAGAGATTTAGGCCTCTGTCAAGTCATATATTTGTATGTTTATCACCGGATGGCACTAATACCGTTGTTTTGATCAAAAATGGACTTAGGCAATTTGCATCTTAGAACGACGATAAGTACCTCTAAATAACAGATTCCAACAATTATATGTTATAAAGTTACAACAGAAATTATTATCATGGATAAATTCCTAATACAATCCAGGAAACATTGAAGGAAGTGATAAGTATTGCAAAGTGTTGTAATTGAACTAACTGAACCCAATTTCGAACAAAGACAATGATAATGTTTTTAGACAGTTGGAAATTGGTTATGATTAACAAATGCTTACCACATCTTTTTCACTGCTTTCAACTCCATCTTTTTGTATTATTTCTCCTTTTCAAGTTTATATATGATACATAAATATCTTCAGTATCCATAAATCTGTCTAGCAATATGGTATGAAATCCATTTAATAAGGATCTTATGCAAATGCTGCATGTCTACTTGATCTAATTAAATTTCTCTGTATTCAAATGTCTCTTTCCAAAACACCACTACATTAATTGCTTTCCACCTACTATTTACTTCAATTTTAAAATTGTTTTTATGATAGCACATTTGTGCCATTAACAACATTTTTGTTGTGCTTAGAAATATATTAAGAGTCACATATGGTCAACATTATTCATTCACATACTATTTATTATATAATACACAAAAATTTGCCAACAACTGATATTAATAATTCACTGCTTAACAAAACATACTACATACTATAGATCTATCTAGATATTGTAGGCAGTCAGTGAAAATATTCCTGCAACAAACTGATTCATTTTATACAAGGTGTATTTCTGCCAATATTTTTTATCAATAGAATTGGTCTCTCTGCCAAATCATTCATTTTATGTGATCAAAGGCAATAACTAGTAATGCAACAGTATTACATTCTCTATTGAGGAACTATTTAAGTATAGGATTTAGAAAATACATATTTTTGAATATTAATTCAAAAGAAATGTATGAATGTAGAGGAGTTTTACTAGGAAAATTACTACTCTGGTTGTTTGTTCTTAGATTAGATACAACGTAAAGTATACAAGTTGTTGGTGTTTTGAAACAAGGTTAAAATAAACTAAGAACAGAATAAAGAGATTTTTTAATATTAGAAAATTGTTTTTCATATATCGACAAAAACTTTCAATTTAAAGTATAAATCCACAAATATTTTTAAGCCATCTGCAAAACTTTTAATGATTTCTATAGCAGGTATAATTCGAAAATCAATTAAATCCTGGTTATTTCAATCAAAAACTTCGAGTTTATTATCTTTCTATTTTAGTACTTAATATTGCCATTAACTCATTACTTCTTATAAATCATAGGACCTACCCCATTTATGAGAATTAGTGGTAAAATTTGATATCGATAGTCGAAGTGAATGTGAGCCTTTGAGAACCAACTTTCCAATTTTCTAACACTTTGAATCTCTTGTTTTTTGTCAATTTATATTGTCTCTCTTGAAGATGTTTTTTATACTATTACACTATAAACATTCGATATAGTTAAGCTTTAAAGTCTTTTCTTTCTAGAGCATTACCTCTATGTTCATGCTATTTGGAACATATAATAATGTGACATTATAAATACGAAATATAAAGGTACATTTCAATGAACAATATAAAAGGCAAAACAGACAGATAAGAACAAATAGGAAGAAGAATAAAGGGGAGACTCAGACTTGGATATATGTAACAAGACCTAAAGATTCTGAAAAAACAAAGGGGGTTCTCCCCTCCCAGTAAGTCTGTAACTTTTTTGCAGTTTTTTAAGAATCCTTCTATTGGTTTTAGTAAATCTCATTCTGCTTCTTGGATTATGGATGATATTGATTTTGGATTACTATCACAGAAGAAAGTAAGGAAAGTTTCAATTTCAACTGTGTGCTTTATTGTAAGAAACGTCGAGTTCCACCTAGTCGGAACATTTAAAACAACTCCTTTTGGGCTGTTAATTCCGATGGTCTTGCATGCAGATTCATATCGTAATCTCAATTGTTCAGATCTTTTTATTAAAAAAAAAAAATGCAGATACTTGTATAACTTTAATTACCAAATCATTCGGATGATAATAAACGTGCAGTTTTAGCGAGACATGCGGAACGTTCCGCGGGATAAAACGTCTCTCACACCCTGCAGAAAAATCGCTGTCCCGCCCCGCAGCAAAAATCGCTGTCTCGTTCCGTGTACCGTCCCGCTTGCATCCCTACTCGGACTGGAGGAACATCTTAGAGCAGGTTATAAAGGGTTGCCGAGCCAAGAATGATGGCGATGTTTAAAATCGATAAGTTCAATGGTTACTGTTTTAATCATTTCAATTATTATAACACCGTTATACTAAGACCGAATAAGAAGTGACGAGAATAGTGACGAGAGAGAAGTGGACACTAAATAGAAAAAGGAATGGAACAATCACATCAGTAAAATGGCGGACACAAAAGTCGTTAAAATAGCAAGGCACAAATCACCACGCGGAGAAGTATCTGCCTACCGCGCAAACGATGGAGTGACAATCTTTTATAGAGGCAACAACCTGTCAGTGAACAAACAACATTGCTTGTATAAAGGAAGAAGAAGAAGAATTATATCTGTCAATGTTACTATCAATCTATTTTTCTATCCTGATAGTTCTTATTAATTTTTTTATTTCTTTATATCCTCTGTATATATTGTGTGTAGGATATATTGTCTCATTAGAGGAAACGAAAAAGAAGTGAATCAAACAATAACCAATTACTGGGAAGATCTATAATTAATGAGACAATCAAAGACTTTTCTGTTCAAAGACCAAAAAAACGCGAGAACGCGCATAATAAAAAAATATACCTAGCGCCTAAGATTATGTAATGAGAAAACATTCGCGAATAATTCATTAACTGCAGAAGACAAAAATTGAGAGCACATGGAATAAAATATGACCTGCCTTTCTAATTTAAACTTGTATTAACAACCTAAATCCCTTGAAAGAAATAGAAGAAAAGCACTAATTACTGTGTACACACATACTGTGTATATTACAAACATGCAATACGTGAGGAATTTCATATATTTTAAAGTACATACATACATATCAAAATAGTAAATCGTGAATTATTACCACGTTTTTGATTAAACCAAAAACATTCTGTAGAACGAGCTCGTATGCAGATGTTGCAGTTCATATGTCAAATTTTTTGAAAACTTTTTTACTTTAATTATAAATATACAAAGTAAGTCTAATTTTTATCAAATTTTGCGTAATCTGCCTTCTTAATTAGTAATGCGCAATTGGTCAAGCTTTCCAGTCAAATTTTATATATCATTAAATTTGTATATTTATTTCAATCTGCTACATGGCAAATAAGTTCTTTATGCTGTAACAAT